GAGCCCCCTCCCCGGCAACGACTCCCAGTGCGGGGAGCAGATCCTCAGCTACGGCAACGTGGAGAAAGTTGTCATCGGGGCCTTCCTCTCCCTGATCACCCTGCTGACCATCGCCGGCAACTGCCTGGTGGTCATCTCCGTCTGCTTCGTGAAGAAGCTGCGGCAGCCCTCCAACTATCTCATCGTCTCGCTGGCCCTGGCCGACCTCTCGGTGGCCCTGGCCGTCATGCCCTTCGTCAGCGTGACCGACCTCATCGGCGGCGAGTGGATCTTCGGGCGCCTCTTCTGCAACGTCTTCATCGCCATGGATGTCATGTGCTGCACGGCCTCCATCATGACTCTCTGCGTGATAAGTATCGACAGGTGAGGCTCCCGCCGCCCCCTGGGGGCACTCCGGGCGCGACCGGCACCGCGCCGCCGACCCGGGGACCGAGGGGGCCGCCGGTGCTGGGGACCTGCCGTGAGCGGTTCCACCGGGGGCCCCTTTTGCCTCCTCCGGGTCTCTTGGAAATGAGCTGTAGACGTGCTAAAAGTGCGGAGGGAGGGGAGAGTGACCCTTGCAGCCTCTCCCGTTCGAAGGAGCCCGCCGGAGCCGTGCGTGCTGCCTCCCGCTCTCCCAGCCCAGGTGCCTCGTTTCCCCTCCGGGTCACTTCCCTGCTGTCATTTCAGAGTCAAAGTGGCAGAACAAAACTGTAGGCGTCTACTGTGGCTCTGTACAAACAATGGGGCATTTGCAGCCGCTTTAAAATTTGCACCCTATGTCTTTAAACTGCTTTGAACCACAGCTAGATTTGAGCTGATCCTTCCCTGAGGAAGCGTAACCTCACTCAGTTCACTGGAGTTTTACCAGGTCGGAGAAGGCACAGGCCTTGTAGCTTATTAGGGTTTTATCATATTCTATGACAATTCCAGAATAGCTCCGTTTCAACTAAGAGAACCGTTTTTGACAAATAACTTCTTGTTTGAAGGAAAAATTGCTTTCAAATATTTGCTGTTTAAAAAATTTCGTCTGTCCTCTTAAAAAACAAGATATGCTCATTGACATTTAGCATCTTCCAAAAGATATGGGCACTGGAGCAATAAGGAGGTGTATACAGACTGCAGAAGAGGATCTCAGGCATTCATTTCTGATGTTAAGGCCGTAACTAAGATCTCGCATTTGCCTGTGTCTAAGCTCTCCTCTGCAGAGGAAGGCTAACAGATTCCTTTATTCCTTCCAGGTCCCATTGTAAAGTATGTTGCAGCCTGTAACTTCCCTTCTTCTACAGCCTAAATTTCATGCCAAGAATTTTAGTGTCTAGAGGGAGGCTGTTTTCATTACAACTCAACACAATTTGCAGAAATTGAAGAACTTCCTAACTAGACTGTAGAAGTAGTTTATCAAGTCCGATAGTCTACAGTAGCCTTGACTGTCTACTTCAGGAAGTTTTTGGAATGAACTTCGTATTAGGTTTCTGTAAAGAAATACTTTCAAGAGTTTCCCAAAATAACTGGAGGTTGTTTCATGCTAAGGAGCATCATGGTTTATATTAATTTCAAAAATTTAATTTCTGTATAAGCATCCCCTGCTCCAATGCTCTTTATTTTGTGACTTCTATAATGGCTAGCAGTTATGCAGCAGGACGCTGCAAAGCATCTTGTAGCAATGAAATCCACATACAGACTTTGACTATCAAAGGGTGGGGTTTTCTGTTGTTGTTGTTGCTGCCTTGAAATTTGCTGTCTTTTTAACTCAATTCCAGTATTGTAAGAAAATATGAATAGGCTTATCTACCTTCTCAATGTTATTTTCTATTTTTCTGTCTTAGCTATTTTTAAGATAGACGATTTCATTTTTCCACGCTCTCCACATGAAGTGTTTCCATTCTTTGATTGTTCTTGTTGTCCGTCTCTGAGTTCTTCACCTCCATTCCTAATAACCTTTTGAAGACAGGTTAACATAATGAAGCTTTCTTACACAAGTAAGGATGTGTGACTGATTTACACTGTAGCACTGGAGTAATTCAGTTTTACTCTTTTCCATTTCTCAGTTTAACATTTGGGGTCACTGCTGTGTGCTGAACAGGGGCTTTGACTGAACTGATCACAGTGATGATTGTGCCTCTTGCTGCTTTCTTTCCATTCTCTCCCCCCCTCCCCGTCCCCCCAAAACACCCATAAGAGATATAGCTATGTATTTAGAACAGAATGTAACCTATTATGAATGACTGATTTTTATTAACAAGTGCTGGTTTAAACCACTATTATTCTCCTCTTGTCTTTGCATTCCTACTTCTTTCACTGAATTTTTATTGAACATGACCTTTTCATAATTCATTATACTGCTCTCTACTCTCTACTTGAAATCAAAATTCTGTGAATCCTGATGCTTAACCTCTGTCACCCAAATCCATCACACAGTTAAGATAAGTGATATCATAAGTAAAAGGAAACAAGCCAGCAACTCATTAGCAAAATTTCTCTACTACTTGTAAATAAAGAATTAAAAAAAATCCATTATTTGTAATCCTATTTAAAAATAAGCGATGTTATACTGTTGTAACACTGTTCATTCAGGCCAGAGATTAGCTTGGGATGTTAACTAAGCTTTGAATAGTGAACGTGTACAAAATATACAAATCAGGGAGAATGGTGAAAATTAAATGTGAATGATGAAATGTTGCCGGTGTAGCATTGATTTTTATGGTACTGTCTTACTGGCAGTTGATCTTAACACTTACATAGTTAGGAAAGCCTTGAATGATCAGTGAGGGAGACTTTCCTCTGAAAAAATTGGTACCTCCGGATAAAGTATTTTATGTGGTACAAGAGTTTGCAGATCACAACGTGTATAGTGCGTTAGAGGGTCGGACCATTTTCACAAGGACCCTTTTTCCATGGGTTTGGTGGGAACACTTGCATGTTTTATATTATCTAGGAGGAGAAGATCTCTGATGATACAGCCTATAACATCTCAGTGCAAAGAACACAGATACAAGATGAACCAGGAAATCCAGAAGCAGGGAAGGAGTGAATGAAATTCACTGTCCTTCAACTTGGCCGCTATTCTTGGTGACACTTAGATACACTTAAACCTTGCAACACAGTTAAGTGTCCTGGGGTCACACAGGAGACATTTGTTTAGGGAGAGAATTGTTAAGATAGGGCAAAAAAGAACATTTTTAAAGAATAATTATGAATTTCACTGCCACCTGGCTCTTTAGGACACTTTAAGAAGCCTTTGTTGTGTTCCCATAAAGTCTCTCCTGAAGGGAAAGATGAGGCTGTTGCAGGCAGTGCAGAGACAGCAAATAAGTCGGATATTTTAGTTTTCATTGTTAAACATCTAGTTCTTCCTGAAGCAGATATGAGAATCAGTTGAAAGTAAATAGCTGAAAGAATGTTACTATTGAATTAATCTTTATTAAAAAAAAAAAACCAAACAAACAAAAAACAAACAACAAAAACCCAAACCAAACCCTAGTTTGTTACAGACTGTTAGGCAAGGTTTGTAAGGAGAGGTAATATCTTTTATTAGACAAATGACTGTAGCTGGTAAAAAAGAGGCTTTGAGACCCTTCCAAACAGGATAAAATGAGTAGATTGAAGAGGATTTTTGATTTGTTTCTCTTGCACAAATATGTGCTACTCAGCTCATGCCACTGAGAGCCCTGAAATGCCAGCAGCTGGCAGGCCTATTGCACACAGAGATATTTTACTGCACAGCCCTTAGTGGCGGATATGTTTTTTCAGCTGAATTTATCATTTGGAAAACTCTGAAAGATGCAGATTAGCATGGAGTCTACAAATGGGCTGGTCTCATTCTGTTGAAAGAAAACTCCCATCTTTTTGCCTAGTCAGACACATCAAGCACTGCTTGTACTTTTTAACTTGCTTCTACTCTAAGTTGTATAAATGTTAAGACTGCAAAGTAGATGTTAGTATGCTATTATGGGGTTCTCTAACTTTGTACAGGGTGCACAAGAAAGAAGCTAGTTTGAAAAGGTTATTTTATTATCCACAAAGAACTAAATTTTCAGTGATCATGAGATAATCTCCAAATACCAAGATTTGGACTATTACGCTTTTCTTCAGATCATATCTTTCCTTTTGTTTCACAACATGAAAACCTCTACAGATCTTTATCAGGGTGACCCGAGATGAGCATTATTTTTGAGGTATCTCTATCTTATTTAAGCCCCCACTTTGGAAGAAGACTGTCTGCTTACGGGCAGGTCTGTGAGAACAAAACCAGATACGATGCAGAAGCAAGAGAATTTCTCCCTTTTCAAATTTCATAATGATAAACAGGCAAAACAGCTTGATATCCGGACACTCAGTATTACCTTTGCTATACTTGACATTCATGATGTGAGGGGTAGCTCTGGAGAAAGGTAGGAGTTACAGAGACTTTGACAGGATAATTGTGCCTCAGTGAACAGTAGCCTCCTTTCAGCATTTTTATTCACTTGTTTGGTTTTTGTCTCTTAAGGCTCCACTTTTCTAGTTCTGAATTAAATAAATTATACCACATTTAGATTCCTTTCCATTTAAGAGTGAGCAAACATTAGGAATGAATTATGAGGGATGGATGCAAACCACATCTTAGTGGGTAAATGAAAATATAAAGGGAATTAATTGAATTTAAACTGGTGGTGTTTGCATGCTGATTCATCACGTTCTCCTGACTGAAGATAGCTTCAGAAATCCTGTTTTGGAGAGTATCCACTGCATAACTGCATAAGTAGCAATTTTTAATTCAATTTAAAAATAGCTCTTTGGCTTAGAAAGTGATAAAGTAACGTAACTACTCAGATATAGTTGACGAGTTATAACACTTTCCCCACACCCACACAAGTAATGAAACACTTTTTGGGGAACTTTTGCAGTCTGTATCTTAGCCAACAATTCATGAGTGTTCCAGACTTTGTGTTTAGTTGATAAGGATTTAGAATTTGTGTGCAAATGATACCAAAGTGGGCCCTTCTGTTGATCCTGAGATTTTTATACACAAGGGTCGGTTCTCTCTCCCTCCTGGTTAGGTATTTTTTGCCATACTCCAAGTAAGTATGAGTCCTTATGCTTCACCTTAGAATAAGTTAGTCCCTAAAAACTCCCTCGTTTCCAGTGCCATTGGTGCATGCCTGGGAACTGAGGAGGCCTCAAATTGCTTCACAGGAAGAACTTGGGACTGCATTTAAATATAGACTTAAGCACTTTCAGTAGAATCCAGGTATCTAAATTCTACCTGCATCCAAAACATCCTGAAAACCCTGTCAGCAATTTCCCGTGCCTAATGGCACCTAAGAGCCCTTCATGGCTCCCTGTTTGGTATGAAAGTCTCCTTCTGCCTTTAGGCCATGGCTGGAAAAGGCTGCCGCCTA